CAACAACACACACACATTCATCATTGGGCTTCATCTGTAAAAACACAAACAGATCCATGACTGCTGTGTTAGACTATCATCAGCTTAGTCATTTAAAATGGTAACCAATCTCCATCACTTGGCTTGATTTCCACGAGATGAACTTTCATTGGAGAAGTGAATACATCCATTCATGTATCTTGAACAACTATTCATCCTAGGTATGCTGGTGCTTATGCCCATAAATGGCTTATGCCATTCTGTCTAACAATTGCCCTGACCACACTTTTTTTGCGAAAGTGAATGCTTGTCATTAATTCCTATAGGAAAAGGAAAAATGCCATCTTTCAGATGCTTTCCCTTCTCCCCCTCCCCTCCCCTTTTTGACACTGCATAGGTTGGACTGGGTCCTCTTGCCATCCTCCAAGAAGGGAAGCACTTTAACTGCTTAAGCAAATCAAAGGAAGAATGTCTGAAGGACCAGGAAGTCTTCAGATATCTTGGCCCTCTTCTGCCAAGCACTGTGCTCATGCTTAGACAGTGTTAGACATTTCACAGCAATCTTTACCCTGAAAGAAAACAGCAGGAAAAGCAAAAGCAAAACAACCTCTCTCTCTCTCTTTCTTAGATCAGTTATGGCTTTATTGATCCTGCTCTTGAAGATAAAACTCAGTTTCCATTTGTCTACTGGGTGGCCCCAGAGGAAGAATCCCTGCACTTCAGCATTGTCCAGCTGCTCCTCTTGTTTGGGTGGAGGTGGATCGGTCTCTTTGCCCCGGACACTGACAATGGGGAGAGGTTCCTGAAGGCCCTGACCCCTTTGATGATCAGTCATGGAATCTGCATTGCCTTCACAAAAAGGATGCCACGGAAAAGCATACACAGAATGTCTCGGCGTGAAGTAGCCGTCGAGTGGGGGCAAGTGAATGTGGCTGTTTACTATGCAGACTCTTACTACGGCTGCTTTGCAATACGCAACATACTGGAAAGGGAAGCGTTTGGGTCGAAGGTCTGGATCATAACAAGTACTCTGTACAC